TTTTTAAATTCAGGATGATGAGATAAAAAAATTTCAACTGCTGACGAATGAGTGTGCCTCTCCATTTGGCCTATCATATGTATTCATAGATAAATTTCTTAGATTCCAAAAAAAATTCTAGGATTTATAGAGAAACGTATTTCTAATCAGTAGAAACTTTGATGTTTTTTGAGTTTAAGGATCATCATGAGGATAATTATTTGAATGAAGGGATTAAGGGAAAACATGTTTTGAGTTCAAGTTAAAAGGACAAGAAATCAGAACAGGTTATGACATTATTATTTTTAAGGCTGAAAAACTAAATTTATCGACAAAAAATCTGGAGTGCCCCAGGGTCATTATTTAGGACTTTTATTATTTCTGATTTTTTTTAATCATGTTGCTGAATTTGTCATTCAGAATATAAACCTCTTGCTCCTTGCTGACTATGTCAGAATGAATCCAAACTAAATTTTTAAGATATACTGCTTTTAAATTAAAAATCCCTTCCGCGGATATATCTTATGATCACTTATACATAACCCTAACTCGTAAAAGGGAGAACATTTATCCACTTCTCCCTGTCGCCTTATCACTAGTAAAATTAATTGTCCTCAATTGTTAAGCCTAATCACTTTCGATGCGAGCACTCACAACATAAGAAATCCCCTTCCTTCCTCTCTCCAAACTCAAAGCATACTGCCATTGCTATGTACAACACAAACAGAATTGCAATAAACTAAATTTTACCGACTTGTGATGGTGGCCCATCACAATTAAAAGTTCCACATTTTCAAACGAATAAGAAAACCTCCAAATCCGATTCGTCGTGGATGGGTCAGCTGGAGACTTTAATAAAGAGGGGAGTGATTGGCAGGATCATCAGTCGGCATTTTGCTCGGGCTTTAAGTGGATCGTTTGTTTAACTGTAATTAGTTATAATGAGTAGAAAATATTTAAATTTTTGAGACAAAAGGTTTTTGGAAGGTGTTTGATTGACTATTTGAAAATATTCAATGTATAAATATTCAGAACGATTTTATTTGGAGTATTTAAGTTGAAAGGGCTCAAAAGGTTACTTTGAGATTTTACCTTACATCAAATGTAAGTCATTTACTTTTTATTTTATATGATTAATTATTTTCTTGAAACATTGGAAACAAATTTTAATTTTAACAATAAATTACTTTTTTTATGGTTATTTTTTTTCACTCATTTTGTATAAAAAATTTAATAGACTATACAATTGTAAATAATTTTTTATCTCTCTTCTTATAAAAATAGATGCTTTCTTGAATATGTTTATGTAATATATGTTAAACGTATATGTATATGTTTTTCGATATTTTTATATGAGTGGTATTAGTCTTGGTATTTTTATAAGTTTAAATTTGTTGTTGTATCTTTGTAAATGGGCTTCTTGCCCGTTTGTATAAGTAAATACAATAAAAGAACACAAAATAAATAATGGTTTACTATGATCAAGAAATATCTCAGCGATATTAATTTTAATTTGTTGACTTACTTTGGCAAAATTAAAATGATAAAAGATCAGCTGCATGATTTACTTAGAGCGTAAAGAAGATGATCGAAGTTGTAGTACAAATTTGAAGAATAAATATAAAAAATACTTGAGTGTAATTCAACAAAAAATCATAGGGAAAATAGATCTTCATTTCTGTAGGAGGTTTAAAGAGCATTCGAAGCAAACAGTGACAGATACGTTTCAAATTAGATGTTTAATGAGCGTTTTAAAGATGCGAGTGTCGGGAATTGGATGCTCCCAAGCTATTACACAGGGCATTAACTCCCTGCTCTTCCAATCTAGAAAACAAATACACCACCTGGCGGGGCCGGATTATACAACGGGCTCTCCGGACTAACTTCATTTTTCAATCCAATTATGCAATCCCCCAGGATTATAAAGGTACGAATATCTTTCATTTCACAAAAGGCCTAAGAAAGATTGCAAAGATTTAAATAAATATTTTCCAGGAAGAAATTTATCTAACGAATAATCTGGATCGTGGTATGGACTGGATGAAAAAACAAAGCCAGTTGTTACAGCCAAGCTTTCGATCTACTTTAAGGTTTTCGTCAGGGCAAAACAATCATAAATATGTCGAAACATTGACAGGACTGTGACAACATTTGGCAATGTTAGGACTGAGAGAAACTTAATTATGTCAATTTTTAGACATATTTAAGATTGTTTTGCCATGATAATAACCTTAAAAAAAGTCGAAAGTTTGACAGTAACAAATATAGAAAGGCTAAAATAATCGATATGACCATTTAACCAGTAATTGACTGTCATAAACGATGACACCATCAGATAAAGCAGGGAACACACCCGATGCTACGCCATGCGACGCTACCCGACGCACACCCAAACTCCGATTTTCCATAAGATTACATTACCCCCGTGCACATCTGCCCGATGCTATGCCAAGCTACTCTACGCTCTGCGATCCCCACTGTCCAGGTTTTCGTCGGGTAGCATCGAGTACAGTCGAAGATAAAAGAACCGGACACTCATATTTTTATTCAAACTACATACAACCCCGGAATACCATTTTTTGATATGATGAAATAAACTAACACGGTTTTGCTCATAAAATTTAACTAACAATTTATTTCATGGCTTTGTTCATACAATTACACCATGTTCGTCGAATAGCGTCAGAACAGGACCGATGTTTTTGGTAGTTTATTTCAAACTATGTATACGTAATTTTGTCGTTATATTAATTACAACATTATATAACCCAAATTAAACGAGATGAAAAATTCATGAGTTTTTATAAAAGTTATTTAATGATGATGGTTAGGCAGAAAATTTATCAAAAAACCGGAACAACTTTATCTAAAACATTAAATTTAACTAGCAATTTATTTCTTGGTTGTGCTCATAAAATTTAATTAACGATTTATTATATCATTGCTCAAAACAATGCATTAAGCCGGGAACACACCTGATGCTGCGCCATGCGACGCTACCAGATGCTACCCGACGCCTTGCCGCGTTTTGCTGGGGTGTGTACTCTATCCGACGCAAGCACCCGTTTTGTACAGAACACAGCGTTTATCATCATAATCACTATCACAATCGCAACGCATCTTTTGTTCTTGATGCATTATTTTGAGCAAAACCTTGTTATAAATTGTTAGTTAAATTTTATGAGCACAACCATCTAATAAATTGTTTGTTAAACTTTTGTTTTAAATAAAGTTACTCCTAACCATCATAATTAAACAATGTTTATAAAAATTATGAATTTTTGATCTCGTTTAATTTGGTTTACATTAAAATAACATGTTGTAATTAATATAACAACAAAATTACATGTACTTAGTTTGAAATAAACTACAAAAAATATGAGTGTCCTGTTCTGATGCTACCCGATGAAAATGGTGTACTTTTACGAGCAAAACTATGAAATAAATTTTTAATTACATTTTATGAGCAAAACCGTGTAATAAATTGGTCCAATTTTAGTATATGTACTGCCGAAGTGAGTACAATAAATAGTTAGTTAAATTCAAGTCAAAGTCCATTTTTCCATAAGATAGTGTTACTCCCGTGCACATCTGCGTTGTCGCGATTGGTTGTCGAAATTGGTTGTCGCGAGATTGTGATGCTAGCTACCCCACTACGCTCTGACTTCACAAATCAGTACCACAATCGCAACTTCTCTTTTGTTCTTAATGCACTATTTTGAGCAAAACGTTGTAATAAATAGTTAATTAAATTTTATTAGTAAAACCGTTTAATAGATTGTTAGTTAAATTCATTATATCAAAAAATCGTATTCCAGTGTTTTGATTAATTTTCTACCGAACCATTAAAATTAATTTTTTAAATAAAAACTAATTAATTTTTAATCACAGTTAATTTGGTTTATATTAAAATAGGTATGTTGTTATTAATATAACGACAATAATACATATAGGTTGAATAAAAGATATGATTGTCCAGTTCTTTTGTCTTCGACTGTACTCGCTGCGACCCGACGAAAATCTGGACAGTGGGGATCGTGTAGCCTAGAGTAGGGTAGCGTTGCGGGGCATCGGGCAGATGTGCACGCGATAAGATAATCTATTGGAAAAATGGAGTTTAGATTTGCGTCGGGTAGCATCGGGTAGCGTCGCATGGGGTTTAGATTTGCGTCGGGTAGCATCGGGTAGCGTCGCATGGAGTAGCATCGGGTAAGTGTGTTCCCCGCTTTAAGCACAAAAGAGGCGTTGCGATTGTGATACTAATTTGTGATACACGCTGTGTGACTGTACGCGACGTGTGCTTGCATAGGGCAGATGTGCGCACACCCTATCAAAACGTGGCAAGGCGTCGGGTAGCATCGGGTGGCGTCGCATGGCGTTGTATCGGGTAAGTGTGTTCCCGGCTGTCGTTCAATCGACCTATGAAAGCGTCTGTATCGATTTCTACCATTTTCGAAGATAAATGGGATCTGAAAGTATGAGTTTTTTGTACGCTCGATAATGAGCTGGATAACGTTGGAAGCTTGGATAATGGAATGATTTTGGACTGTAACGATTTGTTAAACTCACAGTTCAATTCCGTACATCAAGATTGGTTGTACTAACGGAACATGAGGCGACTGGTTTGTACTGAAATTTCGTTCAGATGTCAAGTAATGTTGCGAGTAGTTCCATATTTTGAAGTTAATTGTGGGGGTTCTAACAATAAGTCTTTTCTCGATTTCAGAAACCCCAATGGCGGACGAAATTGGTTGTCGCGAGATTGGAAGGAAAGAGAAGATTATTGGGTGGTATTGGGTTTTCTTGGGTTTGACTCTCCATTTTGAACCATTCTTCCAAACAAGACAGATGATCCTGGAAGCCTGAGGGATATAATTGTGTCTGGGGGTGCTGAAATGATACTTAATTGAGAGGAAAAATATCATACGCAAAACAACAAAATATAAAAAATTGAGTACAATTAATGGGGATGCTTTCAAAAAGCATTGAAGAGCGTAAATAATTTATATAACTACACTTACGGTGGTAACATCTGTGTTTTTCTGCAGGGTTTATTCTAGAACCTTTCCTTTCGATTTCTGAAAAACAAAAACAAAGAAACTTTTTTAGTGTACAATTCAGAAATACTGAAGAACAAACAGAACAACATAATTGGAACAGTGTACATGGAATCATAGTAAAAAAAGCATCGTAATGTAATGTAATAATATAAAACGTAAAAAACTTTCTCTTAATAAGAATTTTAAAAAAATACACACGAAATTTCGGAAAATACGGATGTAACAACTGAATTTGCTTTCTTCTTCAAGCCATACCTTGATCATTTTTGAGCTCCTAAGTGAAAAAGTGGTCGATATTAAAGAAAAAATCTAAAAAAATAGTTATTAAATGTTTCTTTACCATTTATTGATTAATAATGTCCATGTATTCCGGTTTTTACCCTACTTACAATGTACGCTGTCTATAACACATGTGTCTTTCTGAGGTGTAAACAGTACATGTCGCAATGACAGAAGACAGGCTTGGCAAGCTGTTGAGTTACAGTCATGGGTCGTTGAGTCCTGGCAGCTCTCTCATATGTTTCCACCATTACACCTCTTTGTTCCTCACCTCTCTTCATCTTTTCTTCTTCTTTTTTTTTGCTTATTTGGTAATTGTATTCATACCGTGGACAATTCCATTTCAGCAATACCATACGCATTTTTCTTGATTCAATATTTTTAATTTTCCACTCTTTTCTCGCGTTTTATTACGCTCTCTTCCATTCTTCTTCGTCAGATAACAATGGAAAAATTCTAAATAAGTAAAGATCATAAGCGCGATTGGAAATCACAAATTCATCAGGATTATCTGCATGTAAGGTACATCTGCACCAAGGAGATCATGTGCCTGTCCTGGAGCAAGATGAAATTCAGTAGGGTTACGAAGTTCGTCTACAGTGAAATAAATCTTGTAATCCTAATGTATAGCCTGTTTGTCAGAGTCCCCCTTTTGCTGCAGCACTGTGCTGAGCGCTTGGACAATATCGATCATCGTGAATTGCCTTTTAGCATCCTTAGACAGTGCGTCAAATAATAATAAGCCACCTGACTTCCACCATTGGCTAAACCACGTATGAGTAACTCTAAAATCCCCAAAATCTGGAAGAATATTTGAAAGTTTAGGGGCTCACTGAAAGTTATCTTTATCTTTTATCTAGTTTAGTTATCAGTAAAGTGTTTACAGTGATAATCTTTGTATCTTCACACTTTAAATCGATTTGGAATTTCTTAGTTGGTTTTTAGACACAAATTGATTACAATTTTAATTAATTTAGTAAAATGCACATTAATGTACTACCGATTTCTATAAATAAGTACCAATATGAAGGTCATTTCCTGGGTACATGAGGCATGAGCACAATACCAGTTAATTTTGTTATATTTAATCTAGCAGTATCTTAGGTACAGATAGGTTTAATTTTCAAAATAAAAATCCGCAAAAATAACATAATTACGTAGTCAATTGCCTGGAAAACTTGATTAAATTCACAAATTCGTCCGTTTTATTTCAAATCCAAGAAAGTATCGTGCCAGTGGGTCGGTTTATGCCCTATTAACTAGAAGCTTGAAAAGATTCCCAGTTAGGAAGCTTATTTAGTTAAATAAACAAACAGGGAACCTGTGTGTATACCGTCAGCATTCCACTCCATGAAATTAAACACTAATTGCTAAGTCAATTTAAATAAAAAAAGGGTTTTGGTAACGAAAGAGTAGAAATTCTTCAAGTTAAATTGAAAAGAAGTAGGTATTATAAAAAAACAAGAAAATCTTTAATGTTTGAGTTAACGCTGTTAGAAATTCATAAACCAGGTAGGCATGTTTTTTCATGTTTTTTACAAAATTATTTCCCTTAGATTGATTCTGAGTTACGAAATTTGATGGGGATGCATTTTAAGTTAAATAAGTGTAAAACAATTACGGCAAAAATATATACGTTCAAATCCGGGAGGGAATACACAATTTTCGGAACAGGTCGCCGAATTACAATCACTTAAATGGAATTGTCCCACAGGCGTTGGTTAATTTGATTTGGGTCAGTCAAATCGCTAAATTTAGTCGTTTTAATCATTTAAACATTAAAGCCTATTGTGAATTTGAGTTTTTCGAAGTAGCTTCATGTATAGTTCTGGAAATATTTGCATTCAATTTTTAATTTGTGCAATGATTATTTCCAATGATGATTTTTTAATTTTTTAAACTCACTAACGACAATGCTTTTATACAAATTCAGTTAAATATATTACTACTAACTTCAGTATTTTATTTTATTATATTGTCATGTTAGCTTAATGAAAAAGTTTAATTCGAAGAAACTCAAATAAATAACTAGCAAATGAAATTTTACAAAGTTCTTGCTTAATTTTTTAATGCTTTTGAAACAATTTTGAAGTTAGTCGTTAAGAAATTCCTTAATAACAAAACAACATCAGTCGTATAGAATATAATTTAATTAGGTTATTTTGAAATCACATGAAATAACTCCATAAATTCTAATAAGGTTTTTGAAACAATCTATCTGATTCATCGAATTTTTGACCGAACTCAGCCGAATCGTTAATATTATCACCATGATTTCCTTATTGACCGTCGACCTTAAGAATTCAAACCATTTGTCATAGTCGAGATATATCTGTCTGATTTTAGGGTTAAACATGGTTGGTCCTGGTTTCTGCTGCTCGTGGTGTGCTTGTCTCCGCCCGCTTCATTTTCAGCATCCGATTTTTTAAACAAAAAACATACCTGGATCTTAATTTAGCTGAAAACTTTTCGAAATATGGCAAAAGCGGAAGGGTACGAATGTATATTTTAACTGAGGATTTTGACAAGGAAACCCCAATATTGCTCTTGAAGATGACTGTTCGTAAAGAGCTAAAAATGACTGGTCAAACTAGTCAGATAACAGGAGAAATGGATTAGTGATAAATAAGTAGTTCAGAAATATTATATTTGAATAAAACAACTGCGGATTAAATAGAAGTTCCAAGAAAAAAGGAAAATTATTCTAACATAAAGAGCAAGTATAATTAATAGAAAATTATGTAATCCAGATGTTGGATCTACCAGCATCTAACTTTTCGACCCTGCACCAGCTCAAACAACCTTCAAGAAACATAGTTGGTACGCAGAAAACAAACACTTTGAGTCAGTACAAATACTTTGATTGAATATAAAAATTCTTTCTTTTTTGCATTGTATAAATTCATTTTTTTCCACATTCTACGTGTATTTCTTAAATTTAAACAATGTTTGTAAATCCCAGGCCCTGAAAATGATCTCAATAAAGATCAAAACGTTGGCGCGATAAAGAAAATGTTTTTCTAAAACCTACATCACTCCAGACCGCATCTCACGATCTTCAAATAATCATAGTTAGTAATATTAGAATTTTAACAAGTATACGCGTTAAGCCGGTCTTGCTGATCAACTGTTTTTTGTTTTTGTTTTCCAAATGTAACGCCCTATTTTTGGTAAATTCTTTGTATTCCTTTTCCTTCAGAACTCGATAATTCCAACTTCGGTTGAAATTGTTTTAAAAATAGTTAAAGAAAGGAAATAATTGAACATTTAATTTGTACCGATATTTTAAGCCTAATTTTAAAAAGCAATAATTTTTCTGCACTTTCGCAATAAATGGAACTTATCGGTTCTGAAGGAAAATAAATAATTTAAATTATAATAGTAATATAATTTAAATTTAAATAGTATTAAAAAATGAAATGTTACTTTTGAAAAAAAAAAGATGATCGCCAGGTCCGGCTGAAAAATTCGTTGCAGAACCATTTTTTTTTACGTATATTGGCCGCTGCCCTTTTAACTACCACCTAAATAGTAGGCAAAAAAGAGATTAAACATACCGAATTTGTCAGGAGGAACCAGAGACATAGGCACATAGCCTTTGTAAATGTGAAGCATAGCCCAGATACGGTACAGCCACTTTGGAAAAGCAAGAGAGCTGCTTGAAGGGGCACTAAAGAAAGTGCTTTGCCTTACAGGAAAAAGTACACTTTCCTAGGTACGGCTATAATTTATAGGGGATCCGCAACGGATCTATATAGGTCGCAGTAAAGGAATAAAAATCTTAATCAACCCCCAAACTAAAAAAACAAAAACAAAAAAATTAAGTTTTACAATAAAATAGTCAACTTAAAAATAAAAGACCTTTTTTTCAATAAAAACTCGCCTGATATAATGAAGAGCCATAGAAAACCTTAAGTACAGATCGATTACATTTTTAACATATATCCCAAGTTAAGAAGCTATCATTTCCATTACAATACTAGCAAAGTCACCATTTTCGAACTAAATTTAAATTTTTTAAAATAAAAACTGATATTTTAACAATTCACACATAATGAATATAAACTGTTAACCTCTAACTTGATTTTTTTAATGTAGGTATCGTTTTCACGGCTGGAAACACAGAGGTGTTCGATGATATTGTTCCACACCGTTTTTCAAACAAAAGAAATCAATTTTTTTTCTCGGGGGAAGTATGCCATTAACTTGACGAAGCGTAGTCTGAAGGAGCAAACAATTCCCGACTATTAAATGGAAGAGGAAAAAGGTTGATTTCCTCTATTTCTGAAAGCTTTTCTTCCGTCGTTCGGGAAGGGAGACTATCTAAACGGGCCCGATAATGTTTTTCGTTTATGTACAACTTGTAAATGTTTGAATAGAAAGTTTGTATAGTTGTTAACTTCAAATAAAAATAAATGAATTATATAATAATATTGAATAGCATTGATTCAATTAAAACAATAAATTATTATTCGGTTAGATACTGGAGATCCCACACCAATAACAAATAAATCTGACGTAATTTACAAAATCAATTGTTTAAATTGTCCGACAACTTCGACAGTATCTGGGCAAGAGAGTAAAGCAACATACCTACGATTGCAAAAAACCCAAACAAAATCCTACAGCACTAGCTAGCTACCAATATGATAACAACCTCGCTTCCATTAACTTGTCTGTCATTTAATCGCTCGTAGAATAATCTAACCAGTGGGTCGACAGAGAATTTATTCTGGATT